CTAAAGCAATATCATTAGCATCTTTTCTCTAGTTCTACCAAATTAACCAAAATCAAACCACAATCTCCCATAAATCTACGCAATTCACCTATTAACTACAAATTGACAAGTTAAATTGGTTTGTGGGTTACTTCAAACAAACATGCTTATTTGATTTTACTTATTATTGCTAATTACTAATTATGATGAATAACTTTATAACATTAAAACTATTGTCGTATAATGAAGGTGTGTCGCTTATATTAGAGCGGTGTCGGAAGTTTCAAAATAAATTTCTTTATACCAAAAAAATGGAGATCCTTCACAAAATTTTCGGGCGGAGGGGTGTCGGACGACACCCTTTCCCTAGCCCTAGGTCCACCCCTTGTGGTGGTGGGATGGAATTTATTGTGATAATGGGTTGGAATTTTGAAAATAATTAGTTTTATTTTTTTATTAATTTTTAATTGTCACGTCACTTTTTTAACGGTCAACTCTCAAAGTTAACGGTCATGTCAGATAAAGTTAACGAAGACTAACAGAGAGTGACCAAACTTGAAATAAAGTACTAATCTTAGTGACTACAGGTGAAATAAATTAATTTTAGTGTCAAACATGAATTTTATAAGTAATTCTAGTGAATAAACTAACAATTTATCTGCAAAAAGTTTGTTGCAAGTTATCTTCTTGCAGTTGTATTTTATTTTTATCAATGTTTCTTATCTATTCTTCCTAGCATGTGTGTACACGGTTGGTTATGTAATTTGCTTCATGGCCCTCCTAGTGAAGCTGAAGATGTCATGTCACTTATGCTTGTCTTTTTGCAAGTGCAGTGGATCATGCCGCCGTCTAAGGTTCATTCCGGGGATCGAACCTTGGATAATGTCGCTTTCGTTTTTTTGTTTTTTGTTTTTATGTCATAAATTTGGCAACCGAAACGAGAAAACTTGTTTATCTTTCATTCTGTTTTTTATTTGTTTCCAACTATGAAAACAGAAAGTAGCAAATTCCTGTTGTTTTCGAAAACGAAAAATGTTGTTTTTACCTGTTTTTAACATCTGTTTTCTCAAATACAGAAATAGAAATGAAAGTAAACAGGCCCTGGCAAGAGATTTGCGCTTTCTATCTATAAACAGCGACGGATCCAGGACACAGTAGAGCACTAGGCCGCATTTCATTAGAAAATTAGATACCGTAAGAAAATCATAAATTTTTTTTTTTGCAATATCAATTGTACACGTCAATCTTTTAAAATTTTAATATAGTGAATTCATCAATAATGGAGTCTACATCCATACCAATAGAATACTCTCTTTAAGATAAAATAGTTAATCGATTGGCGAGAAATTCATCGCTCATTTTATTACGCAAATAATTTTTCACCTATTTCATTGTTAAAAAGGTTCTCTCCGTAGTTGTTGAAACGAGCAATGTCAAGACTACACAAATCTATCGACTAATCAATATATATATAGTGTGTCAATCCCTATTTTCACCAGCTACCCTAGTAATTTTTTAAGTGAACAAATCCCATATTTTTTTTAGTCTTTTACGTTTTTTACTTTTAGAATTTTAGGTTTCATTGCTTGTTTTTCTTTAGACGAGAATCATTGGAGTTAGAATTTTCAGGTTAAATTTAGAGCTGTGTTTTGAATATGTTCATCTGACCCATTTTCTAATTACACACAATCTTATTATAAAATACACTGGGCCAATGACTACAATCGATAAACTCATAAGGGCTATACTAGCTTCGAATCCAGAAGAGGGCTGGGCCGTGACCCGGGGTGGCCTCCCCTGGATCCGCCACTGGCTATAAACAGAGGCAGGCAATCTTATACCTTCATGTCCAAACATAGAAGATTAAAAAAAAAAAAAAAGAAGCTTTCAGTTAGGTATAGCACATACATTCTTCAAAGAGTTCTTTCATTAATACTATTCTACCATACCATGGCCAAAATGCTGCTGAAACAATATTCCCTCTTCTCCGTTCTGATCACCCTCTTCCTCTTCACCATTCTACTTTCCGAGGCTAGATTAATGTCATCGCATCCTTTCTCGACGGAACTGTCGGCAAAAGCTATGGCGCTGAAGAATGAGAAGCTGACCCACCTCCATTTCTACTACCACAACCTCCTTGCCGGCCCAAACGCTACGGCCCTGCCTCTCAACCCTAAAGGCCCTCTAGATTACAGCCATCCGGCCCGTTTGTTTGGGCGGTTAACCATGGCGGACAACCCTTTGACGTTGGATCCAGAGCTCGACTCCACCGCGGTGGGACGGGTTCAGGGGCTATACGGCGTCGCTTCCAGGGTTGACGCGGCTCTTGTGGAGTTGTTCAACTTTGTGTTTACGGCCCATGGTGGTGAGTACAGAGGAAGCACCGTCACTGTGTTGGGACGCAACCCCATACTTGCCGCCGGGACAAGGGAGATGCCGGTCGTCGCCGGTACCGGAGTGTTCGGCTTCGCTCGTGGAAAGGTTCATCTCAAAACGCATTCCTTTAATAAAACAACGGGAAATGCAGTCGTGGAGTGTGACATCTACGTGTTTCACTATTGATCGACTTATGATTGTTGTTATCACTATTGTTATGTTTGGCTTTCTTTTTCTTCATGTTATAATTCTCATGTTAAATTTTAGTGTTTTTAATCGCTCGTTGGTGTTAAAGATTGGCGGCTATGTATTTGTCTGCAATATTTCTTGTCAATGTGAAAAAGTTCTATGGGGCTTCTGATTGACCATTAGATAAGGGAGGAAGAGTGAGTGTGATCCTAATACAGTGTGAGTTAAAAACTAATATGAATATGGTTTGATTTTGATTGGGTATGAATTATATCGTATTGGTTGATTAGAATTTTATTTGGCTCCTTCTATCATCGATGAGTTGAACTGAAATAGGTGTCTGGATATTTTGGACAAAAAGTTTTATTAACATAAATGAAGTAATTGTTATGTTAATGGTTCAAATTGTTAATTGTGAATTCATAAATAAACAAGCAAACCTCAACGAATGATTGGTTAGAATCCTTTCATAAATTAGTTGTCAACACATGGACCAACCACTCAAGTATTGTTGAATCTTGTAGTGTCATCACTTTTATCTAAAGATCCTCATATTAAATTAATTCAAAGTAAAGCAAATACATGCTTTTTCCTCCCAAAGTAGGATGCCAATATAAAACAGAAACTCACAACAAATGATTGGGTAGGACATCTAATCATAAATATAGAGGTTGCATATTACTTGCATACCATTAATAATAAGATTAGATCAAATTTTTTAAGTCACATGGCTTGCTGACCGAACAAAACTAACGATATTTTGGATGGAGATGGACAAACTTATCTTTTTGTTATTAGTCAAAATATATGTTATTGAAACGTACTAAATGAAAGATTTGTAACCATTTTGTACAAAGTAAATAGGTTTGTCATTTGTGAGCTTTTATCAGTTTTATGCTAATGCCTATTAGCCCATAAAAAGTTGGAGGACTTGTTTGTAAAAAGTAACAAATTGAAGGAGTGTGACGAAAAGTCAATAACCTCTTCTTCTCGTTCCCTTTTAGCCAAGGACGGCAAAAGTTTTCTCAGGCCCAAGATCAAGCATAAAAGGGACTGGTTATTATAACAACACCCCTTGTGTTGTTATTGTAACAACACTAGTCCCCAAACCAATAGGAAGCTAGGATTGTGATGACTTTTTATTAAATGAGTTGACCTAGTGTAAAATCAAAGCAGGGGTATAATTGTCATTATGGAAAAACTATTTAAATAAAAAATAAAAAATAAAAAAAATAAAAAAAATATTTTTTTTATTTTCTGCCCAAAAATTTGGTCGTCGGAATTCTGCCACCGGTCGCCGGAAAATGGTCGTCGGTCACCGGAATATGCTTTTTGTCGCCGGAATATGCTATTTTGTGGCCGGAACATGCTTACCGGAGTCGGAATATGCTTACCGGCGTCGGAATATGCTTACCGGCGTCGGAATCTAGTCACCGGGGCCTGAATATGCCTATCGGCGTCGGAATCTGCTCACTGACGGTCACCGGAGTTCGGTCAACGGTCTTCGTTGACCGGTCAACGGTCAACGGTCTTCGTTGACCGGTCAACGGTCAACGACCACCGGATGTTATGGTCTGCATTGTGAGATTTATGGTTTGGTTTCTCATATTTTTTAATGCCTTTTATGGTTTGTTTTATTGTGTTTGTGGTTTGCATTGAGAAGTTTCTGGTTTGTTTTCAAAAACTTTGTGGTTTGCATTGTGAGGTTTCTGGTTTGTTTTAATATATTTGTGGTTTGCATTAGGACGTTTATGGTTTGCTTTTTTGTGGTTTGATTTACTATGTTTGAGGTTTGCATTAGGAGGTTTTTGGTGTGCTTTCGCAAATGTTGTGGTTTGCTTTGTGAGGTTTGTGGTTTGTTTTAGGAGATTTGTGGTATGCAGTAGGAGGTTTTTGGTTTGCATTAAGAAGTTTCTGGTGTGCTTTCGAAACTTCTGTGGTTTGGTTTGCGAGGTTTCTGGTTTGTTTTAATATATTTGTGGTTTGCTTTGCGAGGTTTCTAGTTTGTTTTAATAAATTTGTGGTCTGCATTATGACGTTATTTGTTTACTTTATCGTGTTTGTGGTTTGCGTTAGGGGGTTTCTGGTGTGCTTTTCAAAATATTTATGGTTTGCTTTGTGAGATTTCTGCTTTGTTTTAGAGAATTTGTGGCATGCATTGGGAGGTTTCTGATATGTTTTTTTGTGGTTTGTTTTATCGTATTTATTGTCTGCATTAGAAAGTTTCTGGTGTAAATTAGAAATATTTATGGTTTGTTTTTGTGAGGTTTTTGGTATATTTTAGACCATTTGTTTTCTCCATTAGGATGTTTCTAATTAGCTTTTTCTTGTTTGTTTTATGGTAGAGAAGTGTTCCATTAATTTACAGTCTTTTGTTAGTCTTAAAGAATTATAATTTGTTCTATAAAAAAAAAGAATTATAATTTGATTGTACAGAAGCCCCGACGCCACGCCTCTCAAGATTTGGGTCGATTTGGTACCGTGAAATCCAGTCGAGAATCGGCTTCTCGTCGTTGAACAGGAAGGTATCCAGGCTGCCGTTGGGCATGTAATCGTAGACCAGAAGCAGCTCGCCCTTTCGCCGGCAGTAACCTAGCAAATGTACCAGATTCCGGTGGCGCAGCCTCCCCATGCTGACGATCTCCGCGACGAATTCCTTCATCCCTTGCCGCGAATCGTGAGAGATTCTCTTCACGGCGACTTCGATCTTTGATTTGGGCAGGATTCCTCTGTACACTTTCCCGAATCCGCCGGATCCGAGGACCTCCTTCTCCTTGAATCCGTGCGTCGCTCGGTACAGATCCTTGTAGCAGAGCCGCTGCGGGTTGTATTCCTTCTCCCAATCTTCTCTCAGCTCTCTGTACCGCCTCAATCGGAGAAGGTAAGCTCCTACGGAGATTGCGATTAGAGAGATGGAGAGGATTACGAGGAAGACCTTCGGCGCGGTGCCTAATTTCCTCCGGCTTGCTCGGCCGGGGGGAGACGGGGAGGAGGCGGAGATCCAGCGGCGGGGGTTCTTCTTCCCCTTTGGTGAAGCTCCACCCGAGGATGTACTGCGCGCTGGTGACGGTGCTCGTCGACGACGAGAACCCGACGTACATCGATTCGGCGAGTTAAGCGGAGAGATCGACCGGCGTGGAGATGAGCGGTTTTTTGGGTCTGGACGTTGTCATGAACGGAGCGACGGTGATGTTCATCCTCTTCTCACAGCGATTCGAGTGACCATGGAGAGACGACGGAGTTGGAACGCCGGTGAGGGTTTTGATTTTTTAGGGCGGCAGGGGAGAAGAAGAAACGAGACCCAGCGGAAGTGTGAAGGAGGTGTCGTTTTGGTTCAGAGCGAACGGGAAAATGCGTAGGATTATTTGTATTTATTATTTTTATTGATAATTGACCCTTTTACCCTTAATGAAACCTATTGTTATTATAACAACAAAAAGAGTGTTGTTATACTATCCGGACCCGGAGAAGATGGAAAAGAAGGCAAGGGAGAGAGGTAGACGCCAGATATGGACATGGGGATTGAATTGAGAATTGATTGCGCACAAAATAAGGGTTAATTGCATGGTTGGTCACTGAGATTACAAAAAACGTTCATATTTGGTCACTGTAAATATTTAAATCCAATATTGGTCACTCAAATTAGTTAAATGGTTCAAGTTTGGTCACTTTCCGTCATGGTAAAGGAAACCGTACCGGACATCATATCGGATTTTTTTCTGGTATGGTATTTTGTGGTACGGCCGTGGTTCAACCGTTTCGTACCGGTAAATATCGTTTTTGTAATAATAAAATATATTTTTTGTCAAAAAACCGTTTCGACAAAATCAGAGTACCGTCTCGGAGTAATACTAGATGTATAGGGATAATACCGGACAATAAATGAAAAAATACAAGTAGTTAGCAAATTAATAGAAAAAGAAGAAATTTTAAACAATAATTATTTTTTATAAAAAACTTTCCCATCATAGCTTACTGATCCTCCACCCTTTCCCCATCTTCCGTTCTTCCTCTCTCTCTCTCTCTCTCTCTCTCTCTCTCATATCGTCACCATGACCAAACTGTCGATTGCAAAATGCAAACCCAATCTCACTCCCACCCCCGCGCTCAAAGCCAAATCAAAGGCAGTCCCTAATTGATCTCTCCAATCGTGCCTCGTGGGTCTCCACTCGCCACTCTCCACTCGCCAGAGGAGAAGAGAAGAGGAGCAACGGCGCGGCGGCACGGCGGAGCGGTGGACCAGGCAAAGTGGCAGAGCAAGCAGGCGGCGTTCTGGTCTGGATGGAGAAGGAGGAGCGGCAGGCGAAGTGAAATATGGAGATTGAAGGCCGAAGATCGATTAGGGTTAGCATTGTCCATTACTTTTTTTTTCAACTTTGTCTTCTTCAAACGGCGACGTTTAGCAAAAAAATTCCTTACCGCCGGTCTGATTTAAACCGGGCGGGATACCGGAATATGCCGGTTACGCCGATTATACCGGCCGGGACGGTAGAAAAGGGCTGGTAGGGGTGCCGTTTCGTCATTGGCCCGATTCCCGGTTTTACCGGTTGAACCGGCCGGTACGATACGGTTTCCTTTACCATGCTTTCCGTCCAACTCTGTTAAATTTATCTGATGTGGCAGTCAACCCTCAAAGTTGACCGTTAACTCGGTGATGTGGCAATTAAAAAATAATAAATAAAATAAATTATAATCTTCTATCATTTCCAACTCATTTTCACACTAAAGTAAAATAAAAAAATAAAAAAATATTATAATTACAAATTGAAAAGGGGCTCTCCGATTCAGCCCCGCCGCCTCTGCTTCTTTCAATACCTTCGACGTCGTCGTTATAGGCGCCAGAATCATCGGATTGACGATCGCTCGACAGCTCTTGACTAGCTCCGATCTCTCCGTCGCCGTCGTAGATAAGGCTATTCCGTGCTCCGGTGCTACCGGCGCAGGTAATCACTTTCAGATTATTGAATTTTAATTTTATTCTTTAACAACTGAGTGTCAATCACTTTCATTCATCTGACTGTTAAGAGTTAACTCAGTCAGCACTTCTCTGGTCTCCTCCCACAGTCGTTCTTCTTCCCACAGTCCCAAAGCTAAAACCGCTCCGCTGCCATCTGTTCATTTTTCAAACGCACTATCCCAAACAAAAATGGCTTCTCCGGCGCTATCGCTCCCCCGTTCGTGGACTTGTTCTTCTCCCCAATACCGCGATGTCGCTTCTCTTCCACGCTCCCGCCGCGGTTCACTTGCCTTCCCCAACGGCTATAACACAGAATCCGCCTTCTTCGGCTCCAAACTCCCCGCCAAATCGCTTTCCTGCTCACCGGCGACACATCGATGTCGCGGCCGGGCTCTCCGATTCAGCCCCACCGCCTCTGCTTCTTTCCACACCTTCGACGTCGTCGTTATAGGCGCCGGAATCATCGGATTGACGATCGCTCGACAGCTCTTGACTAGCTCCGATCTCTCCGTCGCCGTCGTAGATAAGGCTGTTCCGTGCTCCGGCTCTACAACAACTCTCTCACCGGCGCTCTGCCCCAGGGCTTCTCCAATCTCACGACCTTGAGGCGTTTCGACGCCTCCATGAACGACTTGACCGGGACCATTCCCGACGAGCTCTGTGGGCTGGACCTCGAGTCGCTCAATTTGTTCGAGAATCGGATTCAAGGGAGCCTGCCCGAGAGTATAGCCAGCTCCCCCAACTTGTACGAGCTCAAGCTCTTCAATAAACAGATGAACGGGAACTCTGCCCTTTTCAATTTGTAATTAAAATATTTTTTTGTTTTATTTATTTTACTTTAATGTAAAAATGAGTTGGAAATAGTAGAAGATTAAAATTTATTTTATTTATTATTTTTTAATTGCCACGTCACTGAGTTAACGGTCAACTTTGAGGGTTGACTGCCACATCAGACAAATTTAACGGAGTTGAACGGAGAGTGACCAAGCTTGAACCATTTAACTAATTTGAGTGACCAAGATTGGATTTAAATATTTATAGTGACCAAACATGAACGTTTTTTGTAATCTCAGTGACCAACCATGCAATTAACCCCACAAAATAATATGCAAGTTTTTTGTTTTTAATTTTCTGACCATTTTTATTTTTTAGAAATGGGAACAACTTAAAAAACTCCGAAAACGCCTCCTCCTTCCTTCTTCCCTCACCTTTCTTCTTCTTAGTTCTTCCCTCTTTCCCATCGCTGCAGATTCGTTTATTTACTTCTTTCCCTTTTCGTTTATTTCTAATCTCTCCCTCTCCTTCTTCTCCTTCCTCTTCTTGTTTCTTTCACCTTGCTGTATACTGAAGCCCAACACCCTGTTTCAACTTCCCTTTCTCGCCCCCCGTCATAATAATTGTACAGTTTCGAATCTTTCCAGCGGTTAGCAATTCACCCAGATCAGTTCTGCCACCAAGTAAGAAAACCCATTCCCCAATTTCAATCCCTCCCCTAATCTTCCTTGCCTGATCGATTCCATTTATTGCCAATAGTTTCTTCGATCGGATGCAGCTGTGATTACAGTTTTCTGGAACTGAGGGGTTCGTTTTCCTTTGTTGATTATGATATTAAGAGGGGGCGGAGATGTGGTTTGTGGTAGAACCCAGTTCGCAGAATTTTGTGGTTTTCTTGTTTTTTTTTAGTTTGCGACCTTTTCAGTTTCCTTCCCTGTATGCACAGTCTCTGTTTATTTCTATTATTGTTTTTAAATTCCAGGGTTTTCTTGTTTTGTTGCCTTGAATTCAACTAGTAGCAGCGATGAGAATTTCATAACAGGCAAAAATCAAAGCAGTAGGTCAGCTGATTAGAATTGGAGCCAATCATGATGGTTAATTTTAGGGAAATTTCCGAGTTTTGGTTGCTGATTTTCACGTATCAGGGAATGATTCCTTCCTTAGAAATCCGATTCTTAAAATATGTCCTTTATTCAAGCTTACATTTCTGGTTCCTAAAATTTCCACTTGCAAGATACTGAAGAAGACCCCCTTTTACGTATTGTCTTTGGCAGGAAGCTAAACGAGTCAAGAGTCTTCATCAGTCCTTTGTTTCCTAGAGAACACTACAAGGTTCAAATTTCTTCTCCAGCTTGTTTGAGCTGTGGTTGATATTGGGATAACAACAAATCCTGTAGCTCCCTGGATTCTGGGAACTCAGTTGTTGTTAAATCCGCAAAGACATGGCCGGGGTACAAGATCAGTTAGAGATCAAATTTCGATTGACAGATGGATCAGATATTGGTCCCAAAAGCTTTCCCACTGCTGCAAGTGTTGCAACTTTGAAGGAAACTGTTCTTGCTCAATGGCCTAAAGGTAATGCCAACTTCCATTCTATGCTTAATGAGAAATCATGTTGTCTGTTTCATTGTTCATGTATTGACATTTGTTATAGAATGTGGGCTTAAGAGGTCTGTGTCTACAGTTTCTTATCATTTGTTGTTAAAAATTCAGAAAAGGAGATATTCAACTCCAAACAAAGAGCGCCAAGATCACCTTGTGTATGTTTATACTGCATATCACTGCTCTGGTGCTTTGTTTAGCTGAATCCTGGCTTTGCTAACCTTAATAGTGGCATTCCTTGGGCAGAAGCTCCTTGTAAATATGTTATAAATGTTTTGGCTTCTCATGGTTTTTTCATGTTCTTATCATCCTCTCGAAGTTGCTCTCGGTTTTATTTTCTCACTATGGCAGTGGTCCACTATGCGAAAAGAAACTGATTTTCTTCGAGTTGCATAAAAAAGTTAGTGGTATCAAACAGGGAGCCATGTAATTGCCATCACACCCTTCTGGGCCATTGTGTTTTTTCTTCTCTCAGTTGTTGAAGCCAGTCTCCTTGATTCTTGTCCAGCCTCTACCTTTGATAGGGTAACATAAAAACATACTATAGTGTGGAAGAAGCCATTGACAGGTCTTTTCCCCTCTTATAACCAATCTGGAGTAGTGTGCTCGATAACATAATGCCTTTTGAACCGAAGCTGATTTTGATGTATCGAGGCAGCTTCAGCTGTGAATAAAAGAGAGATTCACTTTTGTGTTATTCTTCATGCTCCGAGAACATAATTTATAGTTGAAGGAGTGGTGTAGGTCTTTCATTATGTATCATTGCTAAATTATATTTCCAGAGATCTCAACTCTGGTGCTTTCTCTTCGTTTAGTTAATGGATCAGATTGGATCAGAGAGAGTATTAAGATTTGTTGAATGCCTTTTTCTATCACAGAGAAAGAGAATGGTCCACGGACGGTGAAAGATGTGAAGTTGATAAGTGCAGGAAGGATATTGGAGAACACACGAACCATAGGGGAATGTCGCAGTCCTCTATGTGATGTTCCTGGTGGGGTCACAACCATGCATGTAGTTGTTCAACCCCCATCAATAGAGAAAGGTAGGATTTTGTGTTCACTTCAAGAAACTCTTATTCTGCCAGAAGTTATATTTGCATTTAAAGAAACTTCTCAAACCAGACACATCTCGCACTTTTTTGTATGGATTGAGAACCCTGAGCTTGGTTATGGTTCATCTCACTTGGCGTTAATCTTTATGACTATACACAGGCTGCTATTACTTCCTTCATGGTATTCTGTTGTAGCATAGGCTTTAATAGTGTCATACATTGCATAACCAATAATCTATCTCACTTCAGTAGTTTCAGGCGACTTCTAATGCAGAAGTGTTTCTCTGGTATTTGTTTTCTGGATGTAGCAGATAAGAAAGCAGCACACCTACCAAAACAAAACAAGTGTGTTTGCGTCATTTTATAATTGGCAACAGTAAAGCAGAAAGAACAGTCAGAGTTCCAGGTAAGTTATGGTTACTTGTGTTGGTTTTCTCCTAATCCGCAACAAGCAAATAATGACATTGTTTGTTTGCCCTACTTACAGGTAAAAAAGACATTGGAGCTGTTACAAGATGAACATTTCTGTGAATTGGTTTTCAGGGGCATTGGGGTCATCAGGAAGGCGCATTTGTCACAGGGTCTTTTACTTGAGGCGCAAGCTTTGCCTCCTACAAAGAAACAGTTGTGTGTGTCTCTGTCAATTCAGTATACAATGATTGTGATAATGTGGGCAGGGAATGAATTGGATTTACACTTGTATGCAAGCGAACTACGGCCAACAGGTTTCCTTTTTTGTGGTCAAGTCACTTTCTCATTGATATGCACTATCCGTTCGACGGTTTTGGGTTCTTCCCAAAACCAGTACCCAAATTCATTTCTGTTGTTGAAAGAGTTAGTTAAATGGTTGAATCGGATGTAGGATGCATCTTTTTCTGATAAATTGTGAATTAATGCAATGCTATACATTGAGCTGCGAGTTCAGTTTTTAAGTGTGGTTAACAAACGGTTTTAAGTGTGTCATCTTGACACATATTTGTATCAATAAGTCGAGTTATTCAGAGAGATTTAATAATAAATTTTGTTCCAAATACTAATATGTTCCCTAAAATGCAAGTCATTTCTTATGGACTTGAAATTTACATTTGTTCGAAATACCTAGATAATCTAACAAAAGATCATTGGGATTTCAACAAAAGACCTCTCGGTTACAAATAAAAAGCGATGATACCATGTCAATAACTGTTTGGCCCTTAATAATTCGAGTTGGTGAGAGAGGTTTCATAATGTATAGAATACCACATACTAAGTTTCTCTCGATCAATGACACAGTCAAGAAGGAAAAGTGAGCCGTTGCATAACTCCTAATTTTTAACCTTAGGAAGGGGAACGAAATTAAATCTATACAATTGCTTGTTTAATAATTAAACTAGTGTGGGCCCCGGCCAGTTGGCCGTAGGAAGTTGAGGTATGAAATTTGATAATGTAATGGGGTGTATAGCTTATTGTTGTATAGTTTTTTTTGGGAAACACGTGATAAAAATAATGAATTGTAGTAGGAAAGAGACATGAATGATGCAACGAATCAAAAATCGGCCTTATGAACCAAAATCAAGTACTTGTTACCTTGTGAAACAATATTGTTTCTGGTAATATGATGAGGTGGAGTAAGTTTTATAGAAACCAAATTCCAAAAATCGAATAAAAATTTGCCTATCTCGTCGGTTTTCGGGAAATGAGCATCTCACATTCGTTGCTAGCTTTTACTCGGCCCGTTGGCCGATTAATTTGATTTATAAAACTTTCGTCTTGTCGTCATTGTGCTTTCTGGTTTTTGTCAGCCCATGATAAAATCCAAGAAAATCAAGAACGAACAACACGATTTGGGATAGGAACCGCCGTTGTCGTATCCCTAGAAAATGGTGGTAAACAAGGACTCACCTGTCAAACTGGTTTGGATTGAGATTTTTATCGAGTATCAGGGAACCTTGTGATTATAAATTAGACTTGATCAAAACGGGCCAAAACTTGAAATTCAGCCTGTTTGACCGATCCATGCCAAATTCTAATTATTCTTAACTTTTAAACTTTCTATTTGAAAATAAAAACAGTGAAGGAAAAGAGATGGCTGCAATTCGCCATTTGCACATCACTTATTAGGAAATAAAACCATAAAAATTCAAAAGAAACTGAAAATGTTTAGATCGTTTTAATGTTTAAAATAACCAAATAGATCTTTCTGTTTAGTTTTTTACTAACAAATACCAAACGGTTCCCTGTAAAATACACTATAATTTGATCATTATGATATCAAATAACTATATAATATATATTTGAAATTATAAAAATTGGACTAATTGGGTTGGTCGAGGTTGAAAAAGCATAATATATAAAATAAAAGCATAATATATATTATGGCAGAGAAAATATCTTGTTTTAGAATGGCAAACCAATGATGTTCATTTGATTTACTTGATGGCCAAATCCCGTGTAGGTTAGGCCCATTCAACTCTTTTATTTTATGGTTAGCGGTTAGCCCATTGAATACCACGCGTAAATTTTTTATTTTTAGCAATAAAAATGAGTATTGTTTTTGCCTTTTCATATATATTTTATCACCACGGAGAAATAAAAGAGCTTAAAGAAAAAAATTGACACTCCTGGACCCGTTTAAATCCGCATGTGTACGGTAAGTTGGCCCGTTCCACAGAGGAAAGAGAAAAAAATTGACACTCTCTATTCTACCCTTCCTACAAACGCTTTTAGAATGGCAAACCAATGATGTTCATTTGTTTTACTTGATGGCCAAATCCCGTGTAGGTCAGGCCCATTCAACTCTTTTATTTTATGGTTAGCGGTTAGCCCATTAGATACCTGCATTAGTTTATTGTTAAATTTTTTGTTTTTAGCAATAAAAAGGAGTATTATTTTTGCCTTTTCATATATATTTTATCACCATGGAGAAATGAAAGAGCTTAAAGAAAAAAAAATTGACACTTCTGGACCCGTTTAAATCCGCATGTGTTCGGTAAGTTGGCCCGTTCCACAGAGGAAAGAGAAAAAAATTGACACTCCCTATTCTACCCTTCCTACAAACGCTCCTGGAGCAGGGAATTTGAAATGGGGGAAGAGTTTTTTCCTCTCTGCTATTATATGTTTTTAATTTAAAAAGATACAACAAATGTACTTAGTGTGATTGGTTATTATCCTTGTTTTTCATTAAAATGGTCATGGTTCGAATCCTAGTACATATCTTTTTAATGAATAAAAAAAGTAATTGTGAAGACCAAAATGTCATTCCTACTTTCACTCTGGTTGCAGGAAATTTGAAATGGGGCTCCGATTTTTTTCTTCGGTGTATTATAATATGTGTAGATTTAAAAAGATACAACAAATGTACTTAGTGTGATTGGTTAAAATCCTTGTTTTTCATTAAAATGGTCATGGTTCGAATCCTAGTACATATCTTTTTAATGAATAAAAAAAAGTAATTGTGAAGACCAAAATGTCCTTCCTACTTTCACTCTGGTTGCAGGAAATTTGAAATGGAGCTCTGGTTTTTTCCTTCGGTGTATTATAATATGTGTAGAATCTATACAATTGCTCGTTTAATAATTTTCATTCGTTGAGTTGCATTTTCGTTTCTTTATACCGAACAATTGTGTTAAATGTGATTTACAATATTATATTCATTTTGCAAGAAAAGTATTAAGAGTCATTCTTACGTACCATGGCCAAAATGCTGCTTAACCAGTATTCCCTCCTCTCCATTCTAATTTCCGAGGCTAGATTGATATCATCGCATCCTTTCTCCACCAAACTGTCGGCAAAAGCTATGGCGCTGAAGAATGAGAAGCTGACCCACCTCCATTTCTACTACCACAACCTCCTTGCCGGCCCAAACGCTACGGCCCTGCATCTCAACCCTAAAGGCCCTCTCCATTTGAACGACGCGGCCGGTTTGTTTGGGCGGTTAACCATGATGGATAGCCAGGGCCGGCCTAGAGGGTGTGCTGGCCCGCCCTCCGGCACAGGGCCTCCGAATATTAGGGGCCTCCACTTAGATCCGTTAGTTACCGATCGTACATTGTAGATTATATTTTTAGTATATGATTGATTGATTATGAGTATGATGACGATTTTAATAGATAATTTTAGCTATAATAACAATTAAAAATGATATCATGAAGACTACGAAAATAAGAAAGATAATAGATAATTTTATGGGTAACGTCTATTTTTTATCCAGACCTATTTCAGATTCTTTTATAATATCCAAACCTATCGAAATGCTAAAAATTAGCCCAATGTTAACTTTCGGTTAGCATTTTTGTTAGTAATATTGACTTGACAACATGATACTGACTTGGAAGAGACACATGAAGGTCAAGATTCCAAAATTTTAGTATTTTAACTAAGAAAAGAGTTACAGAATTATTAACAATAACGTAAAAATGACTAATATTTTGGTGCATTATGAAAATTTTGGCTAATTAATAAATTTTTAATAGGTTTGGATAATATAAAAGAATCTGAAAAAGGTTTGGATAAAAAATAGACATTACCCTAATTTTATTTTAAGCTATGTAGAAAGATATTACAGTCATTTTAGTCTTATTATAGTTAAAAGTCAATTTAGACCACGTCTCAATTTTGGAACAAGGCCCCCACGAAGCATTAGACAGCCCTGGGAATTTGGTTTTGGTTTCTTCGTCAAACTAGAAAGGTGATCATTTATTTCTTTTGTAATCATTTTCTGAGACTATGTATTTTTTTATAATTATTTAATAAATTTTATTTTTAATAAATTTGTGGAGAAAAATTTTAGGGCCACATTTTAAATTTTCGAACAGGGCCTCCGAATATCATGGGACGGCCCTGTGGATAGCCCATTGACGCTTGAACCAGAGCTCAGCTCAACCACGGTTGGACTTGGAAGCGCTCAGGGGCTCTACGGCGTCGCTTCCAGGACCGATGCGGATTTTGTGGAGTTATTCAACTTTGTGTTTACCACCGATGATGAGTACCGAGGAAGCACCATCACTGTGTTGGGACGAAACTCCACATTTGCTCCCGGGATAAGGGAGATGCCGGTCATCGGCGGCACCGGAGTTTTCGGGTTCGCTCGAGGGAAGGTTCATCTCAAAACGCACTCGTATAATGCTACAACCGGAAACGCGGTCGTAGAGTGTGACATCTACGTTTTTCATTATTGATTGACTTATTAATATTATTATCATTATGTTTTAACCTTTTTAAATCGCATTACATATTGACTATGGTGATTGGTGTCCATTGAATTTGTTATCCTTCTCGTGTTAATTCAATGATTTTAATTGCTCAAATAGTGTTCAAATTAATAAAATTGACAACTATATATCTGTCGTATTTTTTGTTACATGCTAAAAGTTTCCTGTACTATATGTAAATTGTCAAATGTGTCCTTCTATCATGACAATTTATCCAAGAAACTTCCGTACAGTGTCCTAATTCTTTTTTCGCAGTACAAGTCAATATAGTCATGGAAAAAGTGGACACGATGCCCTCCACATTCTTGATTCTCTTTTTTCTTTCATTTTTCTTTTAATTTAGGTACTCATTATGTTAGATGTTTACGTAACTTCAAACTACGAACGACAAGCAGACAAAAAATTAATCACCAATCGGATGCTTTTTTACCCATTTCTTTGGTGATACTGTTGGGTCATTTACTCATTTAGACGAGAGAAGTGAAAACTGTTGAATTCAAATTCAAATTTCTACCAATATGGAATTTGAGTAATGAGTACAACTACAAAACAAAACGTGAGAACTGAAAGCCAGAGAGGGGGTGTGGGCTTTTACCGTAGTTCTGGCCTTTGTCTAATTTGGGATTTTGCAAACAATTGGGCTACCCAGAAACTTACTATACTATGTTGCTTATATTTATCACCCAGAAAAAATTTATTTTCCCCGGAAGCCCATAACCGTCTGCTTTGGGGAAAGCTCAAGAAACCTAATTCCCGCAA